CTTTCCTAATTTTCCTGGGCCAAGTGCCACCGCTCCCTACGTCGGTACCGCTCCCTCTATCCCACCGCATAGTGGTTATGCTGGATATCAGCAGCTTGCCTCGGCTGCACCGAACCCCAATGTTTACCAGGATCCATATTGTGGCCATTCCCAGTATGGAGACCAACATGTAGCCCCCCAGCCTGGTCCGTATGCACCGCAACAAATGTACCAGGATCCGAATCAAGGCTATTCCCAATATACAGCACAACCATTGTCTGCCATAACTCCAGGATACAGCGACCGTGTTCAAAACTACCCACAGTCTAATTATGGAGGTCCCTACTCTACACCAACTCAGCCAGGCTATACGCCTTTACCCCCTAACCAGATGTATCCTACTCCAATACCGGATACCAATGTCCAACAGTCATCTTATGTTTCCCACAATGCCCAGCATCCTACCTCGTACAATCAGCCACCAGCTTACACCAATGGAAATTACTCACAAATGCCAGCGTCCGCGCCGCAGCAAGCACAACCTCGTGCTTCTTCGTTACCACAAAAGACCGAGGAGTACAAAGCCCACCTTCGGCAGCTTGGTCACGACGCTAGGACTATTTGGGACTCGATAAGTGGCGTGAAAGAAGTTCCCGGTAGCATAAAGGCACACACAATCCTCTTTCACCTATTAAAAAGATTTCGCTCTAAGTTTGGGCAGGATCCACCACTCTCGATGATTGTTGATGGATTGTCCAATAATAAGGACATGCGACCTGTCCGAAATATTAATGGGCTTTTGTGCCGAGCTTGTGTACTAGGCATGGCAGGTTCTGTTACTTCTTCAAAGCCCGATAGGAAACATTTTTCATTTCCCCAACTTACCATGCACTTCCGCACGATACACGAGGAAGGAGTGCCTTCGAACCTTATAGGTCACTTCCCAGATTGGACAAAAGACATGGTCGAGCTTCCCGATCAGGCGAAAATTTCTTCACTTGCAACTGCCCCAGGAATGGAAGCTCGAAAGCTTGAGATCTTTTTAGAAGCGCTCCCAGAGATTGCTTCGACACCACCACCACCGAAAAAAGATATGATGTCTCAGCGAGCTTCATCGTGGCACCCAAAAGCCGAGCTTCTAGATCAAGAAACGTCTATTTGGCAGCAGGTGCCATATGCCAGTCAGGAAATAACTGTACCCCTTGCGCCCTCGCAAGACAATCATGAAAGATACTATGCCACTGTTGCAGACACTCGAACTCCTAATACCGAATCGGTTTCTGTCACTTACAATAATAATCCGTATGATCCACGGCACCCTCGCGATGCGCAAAAACGACAATCATCACGTAACCCCGCATCGATCGCCGTTTCATCTCGTCATGAACAAGATGGCCAAACAATCCACGATGAAATTGTTAATGTTCGCCGACCCACCAAGTCTACATCACCTTTTGTATCTTATGCCAGACCCGAAGAAAGTCATAGCCGCCGTACCGCTCATGATGAATCCCCAATCTACTTGGATAGAAATATTAGGTATCGAGAAGCAAACAATGCAGAACATAAACCTCGCTACGAACGAACCATCAAAAGCTACGATGATTTAGCCACCCCCGTTCGAGAGTATGGAACCGCAAACTCTCAATCGCATAAACTAAATCGACAGGAACAAGCATCACCCAACACTGGAAGTGTTGCGAAAAACTCGTTGGAAACTCAGTACAAGCCATTAGAGAACACAACATCTCAACAGACCCGTATCTTCGATGTCGTCGCTCAGATCTCTCAGCAGGCACAGCAGGCACAGCAAGCACGTGGAAAACAAACTACTATTCGTGAAGGGCCTGCTGAGCTCGGGTCCGAAGACGGTGAGTTGCAAAGAGATACGATTGCGCATGCCAATCATAAGCGACCGTTAGATGAAGCGACTAATGAAGCGGAACGATTTCTTGGCAGCTTGCAGCCCGAAAAGCGTTCCGATGCTGTTAGTCAAAGAGTTCAGCAACCCATGCGGCATAGAGAGGATTACATCGAGCCGAAATGGGAAGCAGAACGCGCCGATGGTGTGCGCCAGAGGCGCCCCCTGTCATCAGAACCACAACAGCGTTTTCGAGAAGTATATAATGATGGTCTAGCCATGTCCGCTCGACCTACACATGTCCCCAGTGAGCAGGGGTCTTACAATGGATACTATACACAAGAGCGCCCTCCTCAAGCTCGACAAATTCGAGCTTATGCTACGAACGATCATTATATGGATCCTGTTTCTGGGCAATCCTTTGCACGAGAGCGTTCTCCTGAAATTATTGATCGACGATACCCGAGCAATGTAATTTATCGTGATGAGAGACAGGGAAGTCATGGTGCTCATCGCACTCCGAGCAGATATGCTCGATATGAGAGTGTTAGATTAGAAAATGACCGAGCACGTTCAAGGTCACCAGTATACGTTAAGGCGGGCGCACAAGCTGGACAGTATGCCGAACGCAGTCCAGACCCCCATAATTCTCGCCAAGAGCCCATCTATCGCATGCGCACACCAAAAGAAGAAATCATTTATGAAAGGGCTCCACGCCAGGAGTACTATCGTGTCTACGCCGATGAGCCTCGACCCCGACAAGCTTATGAATATATCCAGTACGATTCTCAAGGTCCTTATATCATACATAGACCTGCCCGCCGAGAACATGAAACGATTTATGCAGCATATGAGGGCGAGTCTCTCTCGAGGCAACCTCTTTACGAAGCACGCCCAACCGTTGGACATACAGATCCTGCTTATTATGAAGAGTACGATCCTCGCCATCCGGAGCCGCCTCCTGCAGCCGCAGAAGCTCGCGAGGTTAGATACCAGTAACTGATGTTTTTCTTGGGGGATTGAGGCTTTATATTACCATTGTAACAACATGCTCTGCAAGGTTGGTCTGGTGTGAATTTTGCATTTTCCGCGTTCTACAACTTATATTTTTTGCACTTCTTCCTCGTCGAAGAATATTATTGGCTGGTAAATAATTTCTCCTTTTTGTGTATCACCATTCATTTTCTGTTGTTGTAACAGTCATCGTGTACAACAAATCAGTTCTCCGTGGTTCAGATTGCTCTGAGAGCAACCTCCTCCCTGAAAGGCAGGTTATAGGCGTAGGGCGTTTATACTTCTGGCATAGCCAGATTTCTTTGAGGGAAAAGGGATGATTCATGAACTCTTTATCATGTTGTACTTTTATGAAAAGCATTGTATCGGTAGGCAAAGTAATACATAATCTGAAAGAGAATTATTGATTCTATTATTTCTATCTTCCTACCCTAGCACTTTCACTGTGATCTTATAGTATTGGGATATCACGGCGCAATTATTCAAGCCAGGTATCATTGTATTCCATTCTAAATTTACTACAAGGATGCATCCTAATGAGGTGGTGTGATAAACAGATTCACTATCACGCCCCAAACATGAAGTGACTCGACTCTGACTCCTAGTGGGTTACACATTGTCCTTCTCAAGCGTACACAATCTCACAATTACATTTCTTCTTTTCTACCCTGTAATCTTTGCAAATCTACATCTCGTTGCCAACATCACAATATCACATCTTTTTCTCCACTGTTAAACATACATCTTCTTCCGGAAAGCACGTTATCGCATCAAAACTTATACCAGTCAACACGTTACCCTCAAGCATCGAAAATCAAGTCTGTCAAATTTTCCCGCTTTCGAGATAATCATAGGACCGACAAACGATCTCTCACATCTCCTCAGACTTTCAAATTTCCAAAGCATAAATCCGAACAAATCGGACCACGAAAATGAAAGCCCTCTGGTGGGTGGCCATTGCCCTCGCCCTTCGTTCCTTACTCGGCTCCTCCCACGGTTCATCCAGAGATCAGGGTCGCCATGAAAGCAGAGGTAGACGTTATGATTCGCGGAGACGAAGGGAAAGAACTAGGAGTAATGAGCGATATGAATACGACGGAGATGCGAGAGATTTCGAGAGATTGAGTGGATTAGGCGAGACTCTCCTCGATCTTCTTGGAACTGAAACGAAGAGTAAGAAAAGAACGGAGAGGAAAAGGGGAAGTAGAAGTGGAGAAGGACAGGAGGGCAGGAGCAGGAGAGGTAGTTTTGCTTATTAGGTGGTGGGGCTTGTGGATAGGGAGTTTGTAGTTGGTTGCGTCTATTACCCTTCACCCTTTATACATCTGATTCCTAAGCTGTTGTTGAAGAATTACCGAAAAAGGGCGGACAGACCACACGTAGCGAAAGGGCCTGGGAGAATTTTCTGTTATGCAAGGACTTTGCCTCGAATGTAGATAGTGGAATATAGAGGAGATTTGACATAGAAAATTGTGTTTTGCTCTTTATACTTCGCCCACCCTTTCTAGTCTGCCATCACCATATCGCCTATTAAGCCTAAGTGGGGTCTCAATATTCCGCACTGCAGTCCGACAGTCAGAAGCTCTCACTGTTTGAAAGTAATACAATGTTTGGGATGGATTCGATCCTTGATACTATTGGAATAATTTCATCGGATTCAGGCAAGCAAAGCTTCTCATTGTCGGACTGCAATCCAGCCTTTTTGATGCTTTGAGACTCCAAACCCAAAATGTGCAGTTCATTCGAAAACGGAACGTATGATGGGGGGTTCTTTGTCTTGATTCCACGCATGGATCTGCACAAATCAATAACATCACCATGTATACTAAGCGTCATAAGGTTAATACTAGTCTAGAAAAATTTAAACGGTCAGAGTTTAGAGTTTGGAGCTTAAAATACTTGGTTACGAAGATCTCTTAATACGTCATGCCAGCCTAGCGTTCGCACAAATATACATATATATATATATCTTGCAATATTTCTTTGGTATAGATGCTGTTAAAAATTGCATGTTTCTTCATTTGACGTCCAATTTTCGGTATCTATCTATACATCTACAGGACAATACAAGAAACGCCATCAATCTCAACTTCTGTAATCAACAAACCGATCACCAATCACTGCTCCATCATTGTCATCTCCCACAATGACTTCTGCTCCTCTATCTGAATGCGTAGTATATAGATGCTCATCTTCATGGGCTCAAATCGTCAACGTCGTGTGCATGGTTATCTTTCTCATTCTCACGTTATCGACTCTCATCATGGGAGCAATAGCATATTACAAAGATATCATGGAGCAACGTCAAATATTCCCACCCCCCAATCCAAACGACACGGAGGAAGGACGTGATGCACGCCGAAGAATCTGGGAGAGAATCGAGAAGCGAGATTATGCCCGTCTACGTGACTACGAATCTCTTGCTATTCAAGTAGAGTATTGCGCCAAAGATGTGGATAAGGATGATGTTTATCACATTGATCTTGTGGAACAAGCGAGGGCGCTGAATTATACCATAAAGAGCATAAGGAATGAGATTAAAACACGATACAAATCAAAAGATTCTGGAATATATGAATTAAGATAGCCTGGCCGGATGAGTGGGCTTCTTAGTACTTCACATCTAGGAGTATCATATGTTGATTCTATTTCATAACGGCGTTAAGGGTATCGATATTTCCCTACAAACTTTACTGCTATTGCTTGGAACCATCACAAAGACCGAGGCTTTCTAGCCAGTGGACCAACCAGGAGACTACCAACTCGGGACGCCTCCGCTTGACGGGGATCTTATTGATCAATCAAATAATCAGGATTACTGAAATCTGATCAAACGTTCACATTCATTTTCTAATACAATATCCAATCCATCGTTCATCAAGGTATATTGTACGGACCATATTGGCGCTCTGAGTTGGTATTCACTTCACTACGGCACTATATCTGCCTCACTATTATCCTTTGCGATATTGCCTTCTTCTTACGGTCGATATGAGGCATGCAAATTGATCTGCCTAATGTTTCTAAAGCTGCGGTAACTTGTAAGAAGAGGCATTTCTGTACAGGCTTTCATGCGGCATTAATCGCGAGTAACTTTGTTTCAAATTTCGTCAAAGTCTCCGTTTCAGTGGCCCTACTCAAGCACTTCCATTCTTAATTTCCTCCCACTCCTCTTTACTGAACCTGTATTCAACCTCATTTCCTTCACTCTTTACCCGCTTCCACTTCGCCATCCCCATCCGGTCAGCCAGTCCTTGAAGCTGCGTATTCCCCGCCAATGTCTCAAAAAACGCCTCTTCACATCCGACGCCCTCCGCCTCGACCGTTCGGAATGCAAAGTCCAACGTGGCTTGCAAAGCTTCCCGTCCGTACCCCTTCCTCCACTCGGAGCTGTCAATCAGAACACCCAGGTCCGCAATTCGCTTACCCTGGGCGTCCGTAGAGACTTCGTTGATACCGCCGAAGCCGATAACGTCATCCGCAGGTAGTGAAGCTGATCCCGTCTCTGTTGTTGGGCGTCGGGTAATGACTAGAAAGTAGGCTTTCCCACTAGCGCGTAGTTCATCCCATTTGGCGATTCGGCGTTGGTATTCTTCTACCGTTGGGTTGCTTGGCGTGTGCGGTTCATTTTGGTTGTTGAGGGGGTTAGAAAAAACGGCTACGATGGGGGCAGCATCGGAAGGAACGGCGGGACGAAGGATAAGATTTCTAGTGCGGAGGTTGGGATTTGGAGAAGACATCTTGCGACAAAAAGTGTTGATTACTATCAGTAACTCAAGTTGTAAAATCACGAGTGATTGAGGGGACAGCACACTGAAGACTACGGTGTAGGTAATTCCTGGTTATGTTGCGTCTAAGGATCAAGAAGCTAGGAGAACTAGGAGCTGAAGGAGGGATTTAAATACTGGGAGGACGACTCGTCAATGAGTCATCTAGATGCAGAGAGATAAGCGATGTCTGCTTACGTGATTTACGTGAATCCGGTATTCCTGACATAATAAGGAAATAGAGACATTTAGTTACGTTTGATATTCTTTTTAATAGTTTATATAATATATACAATTTACAAATTTAATAGACTTATAATTTTGATCTTCATTGTATATTAATAGAAAAGTTTCTAGAGTAAAATCACCTTCTTTTAGCTAATCAGAGCTCTCTATTCATACTCAATTCAGCCTATATTAGCTCAATACAGTCAAACTAACGAGTTGAATTTCATATTCTAATTCAGGTCCAAATCCCATAAATATTCCATAAATATTTTTTGAAGCTTTTCGTATTCTTAGAGCTAAGCGATCTCATTCAACGAATCAAGATATGAGGAATTTGTAAGCTAGTTCAATTCATCTAATTCTATTAAAATGAAAAGCTTTACTACAAATCAAAGTTTTCTATGATTCGTAATGTGTTTCTAATTTTAATGATTTCCTAATTAATAAAGTATTAAACATAGCTAAACATATCTTCTCGCGCATACAAAGAATGCTTCTTTTCCCAATTATCAATTTATCGTAATTCAGCAGGCAAGATTGGACAGAGATGGAAGAGAACTGGAAGAATATGAATTACACGAAATCAAGTCACTTTTATGGAGCCTACCACTACGGCCTAAATCTTAGCTACACACACAGGCATACGGATTCTGAAGGGTAATCCAAGATAACTCCTTGCTTGCCGCTGCCCTCTTGGTTGCTCTCCTTCTCGTCACTCTCCTCATTGTTGATTTTGACAGGCAGCCCGTCCCCCAATTTCCAGACCACGGTTAAAGATCATCGGCCGTTTTGTCTCCGTGGTTAAGAAACTCCCAATCCGGAACGAGATCCGGATTACCTCCACCCGTGATATGAATACCTTTCCAAAAAGCTCCTTCCACAAGCTGCTCATCTTTCGAGGATACCTTCAGTTACTCGCCATTGATAACAAATCCGATCTTCTCCAGAGCTTTTTAGGCTGCAGTCGTCTCCTTCATAATATCCTCAAGGTTTCGTTCGATTCTTTCCATCGCATCTCCCGTGAATTAAATTAGTCCAATATCCTTAATCGTGCTTTTAAAAGCATTATCTTGACCACTGAGATAAAAATAAAAGTATGGTGCTCCTAAAGTTCTTGGCTTGTAGGATGGAAGAGGCAACGTCTCTTTGCCGTCAAGATGATTCTTGGGCATGCCGTCTTGCAACTCCGTGATCCATATCAAATCGCTTCGTATGTCCTCTCTTCCCGATTTCGTTGGGTTGACAGTCCCATTTACCCACAATTTCCAAAGCGTCATGATAAGCTTAGGCGGATCTGGCAGCTTCAAGGTTTAAGAAATTCTAAACCAATTTGCCCTTCTCATGATCTTTAGCGAAGTTAGGGCATAGCCTAATCTGATGTCATACTTCAATAGTCCGGACTGCAATCCAACAATACAAGGCTTTGAACGTCTAAAAGCAATTAAAAGCTAGCAAATGGTTCATCCTTCCAATCAAATTTCACATCTCAAATAATTTGAATGTTGATTTTGGGGGATTTGATAATCTTCATTTTCGGACTGCAGTCCGGACTGTTGGACACCTTGAGCCCCCCCCCCCCCCCCCCCCCCCCTTTCCTCTCTCTTTTAAGACTCCCCTTCTCCTCTCCCCCCTATCAAGAGTTTCTCCCCACATCATGAGTTTTCTAATTCTAATGATCACGACCCGTAGTCTTGGTTGTCACGATTTTAATTATTACGTGATCTGTTCGAAACTTTCCCAAAAAGACGCCATAAGTACTCTTCTGGGAGTGTTTTAAGGAGCGAGAAACCAGGTGAACGTAAAATCCTTTGTGCCCGGACAATATTGGAACAACCAAGACTTGGAAATTACAGATTTCAAAAGACAAAGTTCTCACAGCAAGAATTTCAAGATTTCACGGCAAGTTTCATGGAAGAAATCGTGTAGATATCGAGATATGTTAATTAAGCATCTTGAACCTGCGTGAGCTTGACCCGTACTGAATGCAGTATGTGTCCTCATCAATGTAAGCCCGTCCCCCACAAGCAAGACTCGTCCATCCTCGAAAGAAGCTTTCTTGGAGTAGAAGTCTGTGATAACATGGATAAATGGAGCCTCAATTCTATGGATCAGCTCTTTATAGGACTCCGGGAACATAGAGTCTGCCTTTTTGAGCATCTCGCTCCATACCTCCTCTTAGATCTGGCCCGAAGGAACTATGTTCTGATGTTGATGGCCGCTGCAATCCTTCATTATTCTTTTGAGCAATTCCGGAGTTTCATTGGTATACCACAAGAAATTAAGGTAACGGTCACCCTCAGCAAGGTTTCCATCTCTGTCTGGGATATTGTAAACAAGCACATGATTGTCCTGCATCAACCATAAGGTTATATTCTTGGTGAAGACCTTTTTGGTCGCTTCAGAGACATCCTTCTCCAGTATTGCACCTATCCAAGCAACGTAGCCAGAGTATTGTGTTTTAATATCCGGAGCATACTTTGCCCGTACAAACGAGTTCGGTCCATCTGCCCCGATGACAAAATTTGCCGGGGTTGTTTTGGAACTCTCTCGTAGCCAGATTCTCGCTTTTCACGGCGATCTTAGTGTTTGCCCCTCTTTTCTGAGTAGAAACATCAATGACGCTTGTCAGCTACTCGTAAGTGCCTTTTCCGGTGTTCTCTTTGACTTCTGAAATAGAGCAAGGTGGCTGTGGGCTTCCTTTGCCATTCCATTGATCGAAGTTTGCTCTTAATCTTCTCTATATTGTCTCCCAACTAGTTTCAGCTCTTGGGACATGTACAAAAAAAGCAATACTTCCGTCTTTTCCGCGATTGACCAAATGTAAACAGGCGCTTGTCAACGCAAAGGGGACTTTCTTGGAGTCTAGTTTGTCGAAAGGTCTCAGAAACTCTCGACCGTCAGCTGCGATGCAAGCGCCAGCCATATAACTCTCACGATCCGACGATCCTTGCTCAATGATTCGGACGTTATGGGCCATGGTACGTGAGCATCGTTCCAGCCATAATACCCGAGAGGCAGCCACCAATCTAAGAGACTAGTAAGTATCAAAAGCCTTTGAGACGTGGAAAAGACTCTCACAATAACGATATCTTTTTGATTTCGGAAATTCACAATTGAGGTCAGATTGTTCTGTAGTGATAAATTGTATTGAAAGTAGTTTCCGTAAGTGTTGGTGCTATGGCCTAATTAGTACTAGCGTTAATTTGTAAGGCGGTTGCACCTCATAGAGGGCACAACCACATTCTAGCTCTCTTCAGTCAAACTACAATACAATGAACTGTACCCTAAATTCAATCAATTCATTCCCCACTGTGACCTATTTCAACAAATTGGTTTCTTAGTTGGAGCTTTAGACATGGGAATGAAGGATATACCGTATGCACCACCCTCCTTAGATACCCATATCTATCGGTCGCCGTCCCATTATGTGACATTTCCCCTCATTTCGAAGTAATATGCCGCAATATTGATTGCTCGCATGCCCAACTAGAGCTCGAGATCTTCCGATCAAGTTGGTTAGGGGGCTGTTGGTTTACCCGAGGCATGTCAGCTGCCATTTTTCTACTCCTGGCAGAGCTCTTTGCTAATATAAGGCCCGTATCATAGAGGAAGTAAAGAGCAAAGACCAATTTTGAGATGATGCCGAGTTATTCGAGTGTGAGAGCCTGAAGATGCTCACCGAGTCCGACCACCAGTGGGTGTACGGATTGACAGGACACCACAAAATCGGACTTGTGAATATCTCTTGATATATCAAACCAAACATCTTCAAATTTATTAAATTCATTCAATGGATTTGAAACAATCAAGTTATGAGTATTGATATCAAACAATTGAAGAATGAATTTATTAGAAATTTCGAAAGTTGGGAAGTGTCCCGTGAATCCATGTACCCACTGGTGGACGTTGATTGCGTATACACAGAGAGAGTTGAATGCAATAGAGAAGGGCTTTTGAACAATTTGCCAGTCCAAATTTCGCTTTGGGATATTGATGGAAGAGATCTACTAATGCTGCGAGAGCTACCCAATCATCTCACCAAAGCCTACGGCTTGTTGTATTTCCGGGAGAGAGAATGCGTGCCCAGAATCTCCACAATACTGCAACAGCTGGAATGAATACCATAGCAACCGACAAGGCATTAATTCCGGGCCCCGGATTCTGCTTGATCATAGCTGGGGACAATTGAGATAGCGACGCCATAATATGATGATCTTGGACTCTTGTAAATAAGTAACGTGACAGCACAATCTGTAGAAAATTTTGGTATGTATCCAGTGGTTTGAAGTAGCTTGAAAAAGGTAGGATTATCATACCAAGATAGTACGTACTTATGTGACTAAATCCCACAAGGAAACTTTCCATGAAGGATTCTCTACCAAACTTCAATTTAACAGGGTTATGGTTATGAAATATTAACCAGGTCTGGAGTTTTCACCATCATTATAGCAACTGATGCAACTCAAACGGCTGCATTTGGTCAATATTCTAGGACCCCTTGTGTAAGAATCTTAGTTGTTTTCTTCGGAAGTAATACCAATTCCGGTGGGTGCATATGCCCGCAAATGATCCCTGGTGCACAGTAGCAAACCAACTTGGATACACCGAGTGAATTTTGTCTGCACAGTTCAGCTCAGATAAAGTCAGGAAACTTGAACACAGGGTAAAGGTAAAACGGAAGTCAAATCGAAAACCAGGAACAAACCTCACCTACCTGAAACCCTTTGCAAAATTACAGTGGGTGCCATCAAACTAGACGGAGGAGTTGCAATCATCACCGGTGTGAGTCTACCAAAATCACTTGAGACTGCTTTTGCTAACACGACAACCAGGCTGGGTCGGGAATCGGGAAAGAGACTGCTTTCACCTTTGCCGAAGCTGGAGCATCGGCTATTGTTTTTGCGGATATCGATGAAGCCAAGATCAAGGAGGCCGTCGAAGAGAGCAAAAAGCTTGCTACAGATGCCAAATATCAAGCTCTTGTCATAGGAGTAGATGTAACAAAGGCAGAAAGCGTTCAATTTTTGATTGAGGCTACCGTCAAAGCCTTCGGTCGGGTTGACTACTGTGTCAACAGTGCAGGTTTAAGTAAATGGCAGTAAAAAGAGTCATGATATTCGACTTGGCTCCTGAGTGGTGATCTTTGCTAATAATAGACTATTTCACTAGATTGACGTCGATGCCTACATTCCGTTTAACGACAGCGTCGAGGCTACCTATGATAAGGTAATGGATATCAATGCAAAAGGAGCCTACCTGGTCACTCGAGCCGCTTCCAAATAAATGGCATCTCAAGAGCCCCGAGTTGTTGCTGCGACTAGAGGCAGAGAGAGAAACTTGGGACGTGGTTCGATCGTCAATGTCGGATCGGCTTTGTCATACGGTGCCGTCCCATACAAAGTTGGATAAGTCGGATACCCCATTTTCGGGCCACCCCTCTTTTGGGTCACCTTAAAAATTCATATTATATAGTTTTAAAACATCATTTATTCAACAACTACTTGATATCATAATAAATACTTAAGACTACACTTTCATTATCATCATTAATATTTTTTATATCAATTTCACAATTTTCCACTACAATTTGTATTTCCCTAATTTCTTTAATTTTAAAAAACTTCAAATTTAAACTAGTTTTCATTTTGTGCTTTTTTTTAGAAACAACTTGCTTCAATTAATACTCCAATTACTTTATTCGATATTTAGATTATAGAATTTCATAATCCTTAATATCGAATCCCTTAATAATCTTCCTAAAAAGCTAATAACAAATATAAAGATCAATCTTTTTGCTTTAAAGGAATATATACAAATATAATCTTAAATTACTAGCTTTTCAAGGTATTTTAAAAGTTGAAATTGCGAACTCCCTATTCTATTAATATACAGGATTATTATTAAAATATAAATTCTGATTTGTAACTTTTTTATTACTATTTTTAAGTAATAATCTGAATATAATAGACTTAATATAATTTAAAAGCCATAAATCTAAAACTTTCTATCTAAATAGTATATTATACTCTATTAAACTATCCAGTTATACTTTCTAATAGTATATAAGGAAATTAGTTTTTTCAATTATTTTAGAATCTGATAAAAAGACTAATTTATTAAGGTAATGTTTATATACTTTTTTGAAAAGTAAGAATATAAATAAATCAAGAGGTTATAAAATATATAATATATATAATGAAAAGAATAAGAGGTATATATTATACTTAAAATATTTATATATAAATTCAGTAGTTTCATAACTTTTATATCTATTCAATATAAGAAATCTTAATTTATCCAATAAGAAAAGAGCTATCTGAGATATAAAAACCTTTTTAAACCATTTTAAAGCAATATTATTCATAATTCATCCATTATTTATAGTAATAAAATACTACCCTTTATAAAACTTTAAATCAACCAAAAACCATTATTGTTATACTAATTTTCTTTTTAATATAATAAAAAGATCAAAAGCTCTTCTTACAATTAAAATATATTCTATAAATAACATCCAAACTTTAAAACCAAACTCCTTTTTCTAAATAAAACAACATTTTAAGCTTTCTAAAACTAATTTATTTAATCCCTAATCTTTTTATATACCTATTTCATCCATATTATACTAATACTAAAACTTAATATAACAAATTGAAAATAAATCCAACTTTGGGAATTATTAATTAATAATATCAATAATTATACCTTTAATATATACTAAATCAATTCTAACTTGTTTTTTAATTCTAATCTCTGAATTTCTTCAAAGAAAGTTTGTAACCTATCATTTCCCAAATATAGAATCACCTCCTCTAATATCAAAAAAACACTTCCCAATTTCCTGAATTTACCGATATATAAAACTAATATCTAAAAACTCTTGAACTAATATTCAATCTGTTAATCGTTTTTTCTACATCGAAATTATCTTTTATATATATTATATTCCTTTTTTATAAAATAAATAACCATTTATATAGTTTTGAAAAGTAATCTTCGGAATTCTATAATCCGAAGTAATTTATCGGATTGAATACTTATTCACTATTATATATAAAACCGAATTAATATTAATTTCAGTATATATCTTAAATATAATGTAAATAATAATATATCAAAATTTTAAATTAATTGATTTAAGTGTTGTGAAATTATTAAAGAATAAATAAGAAAGGTTTCTTTTTGCAATGAGCTTTTTTAAGGTAGCCCAAAAGAGGGGTGGCTCGAAAGTGGGGTATCCAATTTATGTGACCTCTAAACATGCGTTGCTAGGAATTACCAAGGCTTCTGGTAAGTAAACTTTCATATCATCAGGTCTTTGAATTATGTTTGGGATAATGCTGATTCTTTATCATAGCCGTTGAAGCTGGCCCGGCAGGAATACGAGTAAATCTGGTCTGTCCCGGCTGGGTAGCAACACCTATGTTCACAGAAGAGTGTAACAGAGCTCCTCCCACAGCGGACTTTATCAAAGCTGCAGTATCGACTGGAAGACTTGCCGAGGCTGGAGAAGTCGCAGAAGGAATCAACTTCCTGTATAGCTCTGCCGCGACCTACATCAACGGCGTGGGCTTGCTCATTGATGCGGGCTTAACATTGACTGTGCACTTAGCATAGATATAGCTAGGTTTTTACTTTCAAAGACTAGCCTAGCAGAGCAGTGTTGGAGAGTGGCGGTGAATTTCTAGAGATGGAAAGCAACGTTCTTCAAAACCAAAAAAGTAGCAGCCATCCTTACGCAGGAATCATTAGTTTAACATGATTGATTGGATGAGGAATACCCACTAAACATAGTTCATTTCCATGCGCAAGCCTGAATATGAGCGTCATTACGGTGTTCGACCCTAAGCCAAAATTTCTTCAAGCTCGCAGTACCCCGCGACTAACGGCTTAGAACGAAGAAAGAGTGGGGATTTCAGCGTCTAACCATGCCTGCTCGAGCGCAAAATTTAAAATAAGCTGTTTATCTTACGCTAACTTAAACCGAGACTAGGTTAATAACATAACCTAAGGATCTCGTCAAAGCTTGATGGCAATAGGGTTGGAGATCCCTATGCATTCGCTTGTTCGTCGGTTGACTAGATCACATTACTCATTGTATAATCGAGGAGTTGGCATGGAGACCTAGGTACGAATCACATGGTTTGTATTTAATATATACTTTATCTTGTAGGATGAAGATGAATGAATGTTGAAATTGCTCGCTTTCTTCACTCTCGAGAAATCATTTCACCAGACATCTAATTCAGATACAATATGATATTGTTAACCCAATCTCTCTCCACAATTCCCTTATTGTGGCGACATCATTACCGGTACCCCATCTTGAGAAACCCCCCCCATTCCCAACTTTGAACCAGATAGCCGCCTGATACTCCTACTCCACCAAGCATCTCGCATCATCCCCCTATCACCTTTTATGCAAACCAGTCCATGATAATCTTGCAGGTGACTCGATATATAGGCCAGAAGTTCATCAGATACAACCAGATATACAAACATACGAAACCAGCCCAGCTGTATCCATAAGGTCACGAGCAGATCGTTCGTTCCGTCTTTCAACACAACTAGCAAGCAGTGATGACCATGACCCTGCAAAAGATAACGAAAAGAAAATCGTCATCAGAGGTATATTATCCCACAGGCATTTTTCCACCTGACATTTCATAGAAATAAAAGAGCTGGATGTGTTCGTTTCATCTGCTTATGACAGACTCCTAGATACCCACTAAAAAGTGCATACATCTCCATTCAAAGACGATGAAACCCAGAACCGAAGATTGATTCCCAATTTCTTCCTAGCTGCTGCTCGTCGGCAAAATCAATCGTCTCTCACCCTCGACCACGTGTGAATGTCAGCCACGCAATCTCTTAATAAAAACTGATAGTAAGGATGGGGGTGGAGATCGAACAGGTTGTGTAAAAAGCTTGTTTGGCACCACATGAATGACCACGGACAGACTGGGTAGACTTAGTCATTGCGTACTATATGTGATTATAATCTATCGATATCTGCCGATGGACTAGGAGTGTCACTGGGCTTGCCCAAGAGCTGCTGAAAAGCTCTGTCGCATGAGAAAGCTTTGCTTTGTGGCACGATCATGCTGTGTAGAATCAGGCCAAGTCCTCGTGTTTCTGGGTAGAAATTGCAAAGAACGCCACACACAAGCAGCTTTGATGAAGATTCTCGGATATGATTTCCACTCCAAGAGAGCCAATGTGATGGGGATTTTGATTGTCGGTTTTGACATGGATATTTAGAGTGATGCTCTCGAGAGTTCTGACCAATACTATGCGAATCGCAGTAACCAAAGTGAAAAGCATATATCTAATCGCGACAGTAGCTTATCACTGAAGATTGGTTGGATCTTCAATTCGTGCTCTAAACTGAGAACTCTTGATTCGATGGCTTCAACTCTTATACGCGTTTGATTTCTAATCAATCTTGTTCCAACCCCACCGCTCGATGTCCCCTAGGACTAACATAACTATCCCTCAGCGGAAGCATGGTCACCGGCCCATTCTCACTAATACTTTCCAAAGCATCGATATAGTTTCCTGCAACCAATTAGTATCCATGAAAGACAAGGAGTATCCATGAAAACATTGTACCAGTCGAAAACCACCTCCTTTTGAAGTGCCCTCAGATACTTTTCAAGGAATTCAAATTCGCTTCGTAAATCAATGGAGTTCCAGACAAATCTTTCTTGGACTCCCGTTTCCACAATCGATATTGTACGATTGCTGCTTGGTAAAGGAATGAAGAATGTAAGATGACATCAATTCGTTATCGACATCTTCTATATTACCAAATGTTGCACTTGAGAAGTGAACTAATCGATCGGAACATGTCTCGATCGAGACTAGAAGATTATTCGTGTCATCTTCACTCAGCCGCCCCGATATGATAGCCGAGTCGTAAAGTAGAAAAAGACCACTGAAAGTATCTCAGTGTTAATTGAGATCGAAATTGAGAAGTGCGTTGACTCACAATCAAAACATCACTACTTCACCACCGACTCGCACCCACAGTCAAGCGCCTAATAAAAGTCAAGGAAGTGCAAAAATCATCTGTAAATAATATTCAAAGCCAAGCCATCTTCATATCTACACAAGCCCAGGCTAACATGTATCATATGCCATGAAAACTCCCGAAACACCTATGCATGCCGTTACATGTAATATGATTTAACCCAAATCCCGAACCTCCAATTTAAGGGTTCATTTACCCACGCTCCGCTACACTCCATTGAGTTTCCCAACATGCCCAAACACAATAACGACAACGCTACCCGTGCCTACGTATCTATAAACCCGTCAACATACCAACTCCATAATCATCAAAACATATGCCCCAAAAAGCAAATTCGATCTAAGGTATCATGATATCGTAGTAGTATCCCATATTTTCGGAGCCTCCTCCTTTTAAAAAAGAAACAAAGTCCAGTGCTCTAATCCCACAACTATTTTTTTGTACAATTGATTCACATCTCCGTTCCAAAGTTATCTCAATTATTCGGATATTCTCTTATCCACATTATTCTGATGTTTATCGGAGCTGTTCCATTTGGAGAAGATGCCGCCACTAGCTTTTGGACTGACACTTCGTCCTCTTTCTGGTGTTGCTATGCTGTGCCGCCTAACATGGGTCGTACCTTGATTCCGGTGGCTGTTTGGAATAGTCGGGCCTGGGTGAAGAAGACTACTAAGGAAGTTCGATGATGGAGCTGGACGCTCCGTATTGACTCTTTGAACGCCAGTGTTGACAGTTGCGAGATCTGTTCCATTGCTAACAGCTGTTGCATTGGAATTCCGACGGTGAACTCGTTGTGCTGCATCCAGAGCTTCCTTCTCTGCTAAATGCTCGCTTGGCAACAAGATGGCTCGATCGAGCTCGTACGGAAGACCACGATGACGCCCACGAATTTGCATCGCAATAATGACAAGTTTCGAGACAACATTGAATTCGGCAGATAAAGAGGCATCGATTCCCGGATATCCTAGACTCAGACCAACTGTACCGTAGGCACTAACAATCTCAAACAAGACAGAAAACATATTAATAGACGGATCAGTACCTTGGAGGCGGCTGCCTTCAGCGATTGAAATGATGAAAAGGCCCAAGAAAATATACCACAAATCGAAAGACAATTGTCTTCGAAGATGGGCACCGACGTAAGATGGCTCCCCCTCGTCCTCATTTTCCTCTGTTGGCGATCCGTAAATACCCAGTGACTTTTCCTCATAAACGTTCGTACGACGAACGGAAATGGCAATAGGGAGAACAGAAATATACATCATGATTAGATAAGAGACCTGGATGGCAGGATGAAGTTCCGCAAGATTGACAACTCCAAACCCAGCTGTTCTTGTGGAAGCAGCTTGGAACCAACCATCGAGAACACGAATATTGACTGGCAGATCAGTCACAACAGAATTGCCAAGCTAAGATAGGCCATCAGCAAAGTACAATACCACGAGGGATGGGAAAACTTACATCAAGAATAATGAAGAACAGTAAATCGAGCCCGTTCAATATTACAAGAATCCAGAACAGCCACCAAGTCGCCTTACTTGGAAAAAGTAGCGTAAAACATCGACGAGGATGGTCTAGTAAAAATCTCAATTCCTCCCAAACCGCACTGTTTCTGGGCACCCACAATGTGGTGACCCAAATGATGAATCTGAGCATGATCGGAAATCCCGTGTTGCCGATGATAATGAGAAATGACATCAGCAAGAGTGGCCAAATAGCAGTATTGAAAGAGATCATGCTGTCAGGGGTGAGGGTAAATCCCAGATCCGTGAAAGCAGAACTAGCTGTGAATATACTCCACCAAACTCTGCCCTGACCATCTTGCTCGACTATTGAGCCATAGGTACGACTATTAAGAATCCAGGGCAATAGACAAACAACGGCGAATATACTAAACCCTAGGAAATAGCAAGACAAAATTAAAGCCAAAGATTTCAGTGATCTGTATTCGATTCCACCGAGTTCTTCTCTTTGTTGCTCGGTGAGATCGACGAAGGCTGAGTTACGACCGATGGTTGGTGCCCAACTCAAATAAGGAGTGGGATCCTCCTTTTCGCCAGTAAGAGCAGTTTTGATGCTTTGAAATGTTGGAGCTCTTGACTTCAATTTCGACATGACTGCGCCATTTCCATTTCCCTGAGCATCCGTGGCTTCGGGGCCCTCAGTGTTTCTGTTGTTGCGGAATCTCATCACACCCTTCATGGTAGCGCCTGCAGCTTTCACATCGTCCACCGCCCGCTCAACTTTAGGATGTGTTGGAACTTCGATTGTAACGTTACGCTTCCTTGAGGGATAATGATCTTGCCATTGCGACTCTCCATTCAAAGTGCCACGACCATGGCTTTCCGGTCGAGAATACATAGAACCTCTGCGAGATAATGTCCTTACGACTGGATCTTCCTCCTCCTCTTCAACGGTTTGTGGAGCAACACCAGCGTCCGCATCTCTTGGTCCAGGAATTCGAAGAATAGTTCTGTCTTCTGGATTTCTCTGACGTTCTAAAAAGGCAATATGGTCTTCATCCCTTCGACGAACTGGTAATCGCAGCTCTTCGTCGGCCAGCCCATTACTCCTCTTTACTTGATCGGCGAATTTAATTTGCGTGTGGTGTGAAGTAGGACTGGGATCGTTCGCGGTCTCCGTACTTGATATGTTACTACTTCCAGAACCATTGACAGCATCTGCCTTGTTTAACGCCTTTTCTTTCTCGATTGCCGCTTGGATGTCATCAATAGCATCCCGATTGTCGCGCAGAACATTTGCTCTTGTCGTGCCATGCATTACAACAATGTTTCTGCCATTGACACCTTTCTCCGCATCTGCAGTATCCGCACCAGTGGTTCTCGATCTCGAGAATGATTTAGCGATGCTCCTTCGGTTTCTCTTGTTTTGGGCAGCAATGTGCTGGAATCGTTTTTCGAACCAGTATAATCGAAGGAAAACGACAAAGGAATTGATCGTGATCGGGTTCGTGAATATCGGTATTAAATATAGGACAATTTGCTGCCATGTGTTGAGGGTGTTAATGTTGATAGTGTTCAATCCACTTTGGGTTGCACAACCACTTGCGAAGAATAGCGCATCTATGTAAGGCATTCCTCCTCGAATATATAAACAGAGAGAACCGAGTAGTGTCATTCCAATGATCCAGAAATCTTTTCAAGACGTTAAGTTAGTGTCGTTACACAATGCGGAGTTTTCCATTATTTGTGTCTCTGTGAACTTACAATGTACAGTGATGAAATTGAAATGGGGGCTTTTGGAAATAAAAGATGGCTTGAGAGCCGCAATATGTTGCCATAATTCTAGGAGAATAGTGAACATCTTTGCGGTTCTGAAAGAAAAGTTCAACCAAGGAGTGTTGGCAGCGCTCCGCAGAAGATATTAAAATTATCAGCTACTCGAGTTTGATGAATAGTTGGAAATCCCCGTTTGCACGGAATGCATTGTATGAGGGTCGCAAGCCCGAGGAAGTCGCGAAGGAAGTCTGCGATAGACTCCTCGGACGGTTTGTTGTATAATGTTTAATGTGGCGAAGCAAAAGGGGAAAGAAGCTTTCGAAGATTAAAAATGACGAGGTTTGAGATTGGTCTTTGTTAGTCTTATCAACGCTTGGCAGCAAAGCACAATGGTCGTGATGAATCTTTAGCTTTGTCCGTCAACCCAGATCACAACAGCTCAATTGGATAATTGTTGGACCAAATCCCTTGAGAAGTTGGTACAATTCGACAGGTCAATATGGAATATGGAATATGAGGTGCTGTGTGTGTGATAAGATAAGAAACAGAAAGAGCACAAGGAGAAGGAGAAGGAGAAGGGGTAGGAGAAAGCGAAGAGAAAGTGGACGAGGAAGACGAAGAAGACGAGGAGACTAGGATGACGAAGTGGAAATTGATATGACACGAGCAACCGGGGGTGAATAGTCTGTATGTTATATTATGTACAATTGGAAGAGAATTGGAAGAGAATTGGAAGAGAATTGGAAAAGGATTGGAAAAGAAATGGAATAAAAAATAATTAAAGTTTTCCTATGGGCCAGCTAGAAAGATTGTTGGTGTGTGTGGTGTGTGGTAGCTGTACTAACAAAGTCCACATTGTGAACCTTTTCTCTAGCCTCATGATAAGTACGGGACTAGGTACCTACTAGGTAGGCAAAGAAATAAAATTGTTTTCACTTCCCTGTAGAAAACGGTTGATGGGTCGTAGAACGTAAAAAATAAATCATTCTTACATGTTCTGGTCCTTGGAAGATCTTCAACCTTCGAATCAACGATTAGATGATGGCGGCTATTTACCGCGATGCATGGAAATTCTGACACATTCGTTTACTACAGCTATTCTATGGTTGACAGGATAAATGGAGGTGCAAAACTTGGACATCTTTTATTCGCTAATGGCCATGGTAAGATGATGTGATGTCCGATAATTATGGTTTCCTCGATGATTATAACCATATTCTTGATGGAGATTCGCTGTAGATAGCCATTTTACCAGTTAATCCCTTGCTTCTCTCTGACCTCTATCGTAGATAACATTAAAGCTGGTATGCACGCTTGACGTACGTACTCACTACCCTAGCCATTCTGTTCGTTTCCCTCGGGAAGAGCACCACATTCGGAGTAAATTTCCTATTGCGCAGTTGCAGATCGTACACCGGTAGTTCAAACATCAGATAAGAAATCATCGAATCTTGAAGCATGCATCATTTAGCATGTGAGCCTGCATTACCGTGGCCAAGATGTCATACATTATTGTTTGAGGATGTTCCATTTGATTGCTCTGAAGAATTCTACCCCTTTCCTCAATAAATTTGAGAGATGGAAGTATAGAACCAGCCAGCCAGCCTCCACCACTCTTCCGTTGGAAAAACAGGCCGGAATTGGCCACTGGCCAGGCTCTTGAATAATCCCATTATTCCATTTCAATTTAGAGAACTAAATATTGAAATACTTTGATAATTAAAGATTACTCAAGAATTCATTAAATATCATTAATTTTTGTATTTTTATTATCGATTGATTTATGATAGAATTTATTAAGATGATCAATTTTGGCCTCTTTTTTCTCCCAAGTAGTGCCAGCCAGCCAGCTACGTGCCAGCTTACAGGATTCAGCCACATATTAAATCGGGTACCCCACTTTCAGACTACCCCTCTTTTGGGCCACCTTAAAAAAGCTTATTACAAAAAAGGATCTCTCTTATTTATTCTTTAATAACTTCATAATACTTGAATCAATTGATTTAAAATTTTAATATATTATTATTTATATTATGTCTAAGATATATATCAAAATTGATATTAATTTAGCCTTATATATAATAATAAATAAGCATTCAATCTAATAAACTATTTTGGATTATAGAATTCCAAAAGTTATTTTTCAAAACTATATAAATAATTATTTATTTTATAAAAAAAATATACAATATATACAAAAGATAACTTTAATATAAAAAAAACAATTAACAGATTGGATATTAATTTAAAAGTTTTTAAATATTAATTCTATATATTAATAAATTTGGGAAATTAGAGAATACCTTTTTGATATTAAAGAAAATAATTCTATATTTGGGAAATAATAGATTACAAACTTTCTTTGAAAGAATCTAGAGATTAAAATTAAAAAACAAATTAAAATCGATTTAATATATATTAAAAATACAATTATTGATATTATTAGTTAATAATTCTCAAAGTTGGATTTATCTTTAATTTGTTATATTAAATCTTAATATTAATATAATATAAATAAAGTAAATATACAAGAAAACTAGAAACTAAATAGACTAATTCTAGAAAGCTCAGAATATTATTTTATTCAGAAAAAGGAATCTGGTTCTAAAGCTTGGATATTATTTATAGAGTATATCTTAATTATAAAAAGAGTTTTTGATCTTTTTATTATATTAAAAAGAAAATTAGTATAATAATAATGATTTCCAATTGATTTAAAGTTTTATAAAGAATAGCATTTCATTGCTATAGATAATAAATAAACTACAAATAATATTATTCTAAAATAATTTAAAAAGATTTTTATACCTCAAATAGTCTTTCCTTTATTGAATAAATCAAAACTCTTTATATTAAATAAATATAGAAATTATAAAACTATTGAATTTATATATAAATACTTTAAGTATAAAATATATCTTTTATTCCTTTTACTATATATATTATATATTCTATAACCTCTTAATTTATTTGTATTCTTATTTTTTAAAAGAGTATATAAGCATCATCTTAATAAATTAGTTTTTTTATTGAATTCTGAAACAATTAGAAAAACTAATTTCCTTATATGCTATTAAAAAATACAACTGGATAATTTAACAGAATATAATATACTATCTAAATAAAAAGCTTCAGGTTTATGACCTCTAAACTATATTAAGTCTATTATATTCAGATTATTGTTTGAAAATAATAATAAGAAAATTATAAATCAGAATTTATATTCTAATAATAATCCTATATATCAATAAAATAAAGAATCTGTAATTTCAATTTTTAAAATGTTTTAAAAAACTAATAATTTAAAATTATATTTATATATATTTCTTTAAAGTAAAGAAATCAATCTTTATATTTATTACTAGCTTTTTAAAAAGATTATTAAAAGATTTAATATTAAGGATTATGAAATTCTATAATTTAAGTATTGAATAAAGTAATTAGAATATCAATTAAAATAAATTGTTTTTAAAAAAAAGTATAAGATAAAAACTAATCCAAATTCGAAGTTTTCTAAGATTAAAAAGATTAGGGAGGTACAAATTGTAGTGGGAGATTGTGAAATTGATATAGGAAATATTAATGATAATAATAAAAGTGTAGCTTTAAGTATTTATTATAATACTGAGTAATTGTTGAATAAATGATATTTTAAAATTATATAATATGAATTTTTAAGATGGCCCAAAAGAGGGATGGCCCGAAAGTGGGGTACCCGACTTATTAACAAGAATTTGTCTTTCCCCTATTGGTTTCCCTTCCACCATTATAGATTGCTACATATTCACACGACCAGGCCAGTCAAAGCTGCACTTCTGCACGTCAAGGTCCTAGCACAAAGCAACGCGAGTTTGCTGGTAATCTCGATATTGTAACCATGAACCAACCTACACTCCTCGGTACAAACCGCCCAAGAGTTACACCAGGACACCCCATGGCCACCGCCTATGCCAATCTTGAGGTGCACAAACTTGCACCGCAAGGCCTCCAATATTTCTTGGCGCCCTGCTGGTCCCGGGGGAGCAGCAAAACTAAGCCTTCCATACATGACAGATCACATTGGACAATCTGGTTGATATCACATCTCCAACCATGAGAAGGATCAGTAAGGAAAGGCCTCCAACCAAGATACTTTCCCGAGCACGTTTCACTGCACAGTGGAGAAAAAAGCTTCGATTTATCTGCAATGCCCTTGTCAGCCCAAGGCCGGGTCGATCACACTTCTCTCGTTTACCAACAAACGCGGGCGTCAATTTATTCGGGGTCAGCCCAGTGTCTTGGCATTCAATGTGCTTTTCAAACAGGTGGTTTCACATGCATTTAGCGCTTGATAGCGAGTCGTATATGAACATCAATTTATCAAAGAAATTTGTATAGGCGTAAGTAGACATGCCCTTGGTATCTCAAAAAACAGATCGTTCCTCATTAGCACTCCAACCCATATATCTTTTTCGTCTTCTATTATATCCACCGTATCGTCGCAATCTTGTCTATTCAACGTTGGTGTGTTCCTGTTTTCTGATTTTCGCGTTTGGTTTACACCATCATGACCTTAACCTGCAACAATTGTATCCGGACTCTCAACATCTAGTTGCATACCATGACTGGATTCGAGATGTTCCAATCCCCCATCAACAACAACTCTTTCCAATCTTCTCAGCTGAATTTTGTCATCCAATCTTATTACTTCCTTTGCCAAGCCACGAATACCCTCAAAGATAACATTCGATCTCTCCCATTCCAAAAGTCCGGCCTTTCCACTAGCTCTTTGAACGAAGACAACTTCGTGTATGCCCATTCCCCAAGCAGGAGGACTATATCCAACAGAACCTTCATCGTCATCAAATACCGTTATTGCTACCCTTTGTCTTTTGCCGTTCCTCTTTACTCCTTCTAACTGCTCACTTTCTTGTATTGCATTCGCATAATATCGTAACGCGGCCTCAGGTCCAGGTAGCCAACATAATTGACAAAGATCAATAATTTTCTCTTTGCTCAATTGATGCTTCGGATTCTTCTTCTTGAGTGCTGTCGCAACAAAACTCAACAGGCCAACTGGAGAATCGCAAAGCGCATAAGCTATTGCATCTGGCTCTCTCAAACCAATACTCGTAACGGCTCCATATCCCATTCTCCTCTTCTTCCCACTCAACAACGACATTCTCGTCGGAATTCTGTGTTCTTTTTTCCTCATCTGCAAACTCAAGTTCTTCCAATCTCCTTCTTCATACCCCCAAACTCCCGCGTGAAAAAACAATGCCACCTTCCACCTTACCCAATCCCAAACTCCTTCTTTCACAGTCGGAACTCCCCATCTCGGTTCAATCAAATGTACACCTCTACAGCCTTCCAGATCACCAATCCCCCTGCCTAAATGATAATCCACTTCCCCACCCTTCTCTCGCCCAGACCCCATCATTGAAGCAATGTAATTTTCATAACCTAACCTTTTCATCAATTGCCCAAATAATCTAGCTGTCTCCCCCATAACATCTGCTCTAGCTCCAGGTATCTCATCGCTAAATCCCGTGCCTGGTATTGATGGTATCACAATGTCAAAAGCCTGTTTGTGTCCCCGTCTCTGTCCGTTTCCGTGTCCTGGAACATCCTCCCCCAAGATCTCTGGCTCACATAACTCCTTACTCAACCCTTCTACATCCAAACTCAAATTGCTATTTGGAAAACTTGGAACCAACAACA